TTCTTGTAGAAATCCGTCCACGCGGCAGGCACGTAGAATGAACAAAAATACCTGGACTCACAGGATCATACATGTCAGATAGAAAGATAAATGCGAACGAGAAATTCTTTGTTCAAGCACAACGGAAAACTCAATAGCTGGCCGATAGGACCTGTTTTCAGGCATTGCGAGTTCAAGCGAGTTCAGGACACAATTGATTATGACGCACATGGACCCTCCCGCAGTGATTAAAGACCACATTAGTGACAAATTACTGGATTGTTCTTATTCACTAGGCAGCAAAGAACTTGAACGTCGTACAACGTATTGTTATGGAGATGCAAATTCTGAAACATCGAACAAGATAACACAATGCACCGATCACCTACCTAGTGAATACTGTCTTGGACTGAAGTACAAACAGGTCGGTGCATTTTGCATAGTGAGGCTAACCTACCCCGAGAGGTGTTGTCAGAAAAAAACAGAGGGCTACAAGGGAAAGGGTAACATTTTCGTAAACAGACAAAACTAAGACATACAAGGCTTTTGAGCTACGAACACCTGGAAGTTGCAAGCGTAGTTAATCGCAACAGTAGACTTCGAGACCAGCTTTTAATTTGTCTTACACAGTCAGGTACATCCTGCTCATCTTGAAGACGCTTATACGTCAGATAATGCTTTACTACCCGAATATTAAAAAGGGGATTTACGGCCAAGCCTTTACTCTTCAGCACACTGGAAATGTGATATAATCCAAACTGTTGTTTTTGGTAGAACTGGATGCACTAGTTCATCCTGTTCAGTGAATGGATTTCGAACTCAACGTATTTGAAACCACGAAAGCAAACGTCAGCATTAAGCCGACTCTAGACTCTGATTCGGAACGTTAAGTAACTCTTGCACGGAAATCACCTCTAAATTACATCGAAGTCATAATACTGCTGTCCAGTATATTTCGATTTGGGAATGTCAAATTTCGCAGTAGCACTTCGGAGTGTTGTACCTTATGGAATCTTTAATGGACGTTGATGTACGTGCCATACAATCGATCAAGGTGGTGGGACTGTTGTTCGCCAATGTTTCACTCGTCGTCACAGAGGTGCACAAGCCAGGGCGTGAAATAACACCACATTGAGGACCCAATTGGTTGCGCGAGTTCGAACGGGGTGGTAACGGAGGAGGTAAAGGTCCAGAAGCGCGTCGGGCCGGAGTATCAACAGATTGCACATTCAGAGGAGAGCCCTTCAATTCAGAATGTGTTGGGGTCAGCGAACCTTGGACAGGTGAATCGGGTAGATCTGGCGACCTTTTGTACGGTTCTGAAAAAAGCCGACACAATAATTAGGGAGTATGCTAGAAGGAAAAGCTAGCACATAGAAAGGCGATACAATGATTCCCTTTTAAAGTGAAATGATGAAAAAGAATGCCAGACAAAAATTAACGAATGCAACCAAGGACTACCGTGAAACATTTTAGCCACACAAACTATCCGAATACAAGCAATAACATCCAACTAGAATATGGTGTTTAAAGGGAGTCGGGGACTGCGCCCAACTGATGAACCCCAAGAGCGAGACAGGTCACAGGATGTCGAAAAGTTTTCAGCAAGCTTACGAG